ACAGGGCTGGATGCCACCTGTGTGGCTCAGACACGTGCCACTAGAAAACTGCTCCCTGCATCAGGGGAGAAAATGCCTGGGACAAAATTGTGGGGAGCCCCAGAAATGTGCCTGGAGCAATGAGCTTTTGGATTTGCTCTGTAGGCACAGAAAGAACATTCTGTAGAGGAACAAAAAGCTGTTGTGTGACAAGCAGTTGCTGCTGAACCCACTTCTCTGTTCCCTTATTTGAACTTCTGACTCTATAGCCAGGTGACCTGCTCAGGTCTCTCTAAGAAGCAGCTGCCTTCTGGCTTGGGACTGGATTTTGGGTTTTTGTTTGATGTTTTTTTTTTTTCAATCTGGACTCTGCCTGGTTCCTTTTTTAGTTGGATTTTGGGTTTTTGTTTGATGGTTTTTTTTTTTTTTCAATCTGGACTCTGCCTGGTTCCTTTTTTAGTATGTCTCAGAGGTGGTGATTGGAGCTCCCTATGCTGTCACTGCTGATCTGTTGGATCACTTCAGGGTGAGTCCTTGCACATGGATGGACGTGGAGATTATGGGGAGCTGAAGCGGTGCAGGACAGCACAGGGGTGCAAGGAGGGAGTGTCCTGCTCAGACTGGGTCTGCCAGGCTGGTGCAGGAGGGTGGCTGTGCTGGTCTCCAGGCTGTGCTCAGTGCGAGTAGTGGCAGGAAATGTCCCTGTCATCTTTTGGATGTTGTCAGTGACTTTTGTGTCCTCCTTCAGGTAGCACTTGTTTGTCATGGGATGACTGAGGTGGTGCCAGACAAGGACGGTTCTGATCCATATGAGGTAAAGTGCCAGTGGCTTTGTCAGCATGTGATAGACAGAGCCTGGCTCTGGTTGTGTTCCTGGACTGAGGAGGTGTATTGCAGAGGAGGCTTTGGCAGGAGATGCAGCTTTTCATCCACCCCTGAGGGCAGCTATGTGGAGCAGTCAGTAAATCTTTCCCAGCAGCTCCACTCTCCCAAGCACTGTTTTGCTCTGCCACTTTCTGATGCCTTCATGGCAGAGTGAGAAATCCTGTGTGCTTTGCTGTCTGTCCTGGGCAGCTCCTGTGTACGTGGAGCTTTGCTTTCAGGGAGTGTTTGTTGTGCCTCCGAGGAGACCACTGCATGCTGTGTGTCACCCTGCACAGCTCAGCTCAGCTGCACACCCAGGCCCCACGTGTTTGCACAGCCCTATCTGTGTCTGTTTGCAGGAACCGAAGCAACGTGGCATTTTCCAGCTGGTGGACAGTGGCAGCAATCTCACCACAGATCTAATTGTGCAAAGAATCATCAAGAACAGGTTGGATTTCTTTGTCTCCGGTTCTGTCACGTACTGTTCCATCCAGAGTGTCTGGGGACTGATGGATGGGACCAAACAGGGAGAGAAGGTGTTATCTGAAGGCAGAGTCAGCAAACTTGGCTTCCTCCTTCATGGCTTGGGCAGGCTGTAGATGTGATTGTACCAATCTGTACAGGGAAGGGAACAGCTGAGCTCTGCTGTGCCAGAACGTGCTGCACGGCACATTTATTGGTTTTCCTCCTTTAATGATAAATTTCCTTTGCTGTATCCCAGGTGAAAGAGCATGTTGCTTCTTTCAGAGCTTTGGCCTTTTAGGCCTGAGTCCTTCACTTTCAGCACCTTGGCTCACATCAGTGATAAATTTGATATTGGTGTTACAACACCCAGGACAGCCCAAGAATAGAATAGCAGCTTCTTCCACAGAGGGAGACAGAAGTTGTGACCAGTGTGGGAGTCCAGGACTGCAGAGTGCTGGCAACAGCCATGGGAAGCTCTGGGAGAGGCTCTGGGGGTCTTGGGGGCTTCTGAAGTGCTCTCAGAACTGAGCAGCATAGAAGGCAAAGCTCCCCTGCTCCAGGTGTTTTGTCTACAAGCAGCATGGGTGAATGAGAATCTCGGGGCATTGTGTGATATTTGCAGGCTGGAGTTTGAAGCACGCAACCAGAAGAAAGAAGCAAAAGAGCTGGCTGTGCTGGAGGCCATGAGGAGGCTGGAGGAGGAGAAGCACTAGTGGGGATGGGTGAGCCACAGAGTGCTGCAACTTCACCCTCTGGCAGAGCAACTGCTCTTCAGGAAAGGAGCCCTGAAGAGGGGCAGTGCTGCTGGCACGCAGGATGTGCTGTCCTACCCTCTGCTGTCCTAGCTCCTCCTGCACTAATTATGCAGACATAACGAGCTGGGATTCCGTTGCCTAGTTTTATCTCCGTTAATCAGTCCCTGTCCCTTTTCCCAGGAGGAGATTTGACAAAACAAAAAGGTTTTAATTATAACTAATGTTTTAACATGTTGATGTGCTTTTACCTTCCCATTTCTGGCTCTCAGTGGGAGGGCAGTGGAGGAGCTGCCCGTGCCCCTTGCCCTGCCCTGGCTGCCCTGAGCAGGCTCTGCCTTGCAGAGCAGCCCCTGGGCAGTGCTGTGGGTGCTGGACAGGCAGAGCAGCCTCGGGGACAAGACAGGGCTCCTGTGGTTCCTCCTGCAGGGGCTGGCTGCCAGAGGTGGTGCTGGGCTCTGGGTTCACTGTGCTGCCTCTTCTCAGCTCCTGCCCCTGCCCACAGCCAGAGGCACTTTGGGCTGAGCTGGATAAAGGAAGATCCTTTGCTGCCCCAGTGACAGGCTGCAGGTGGCAGCTGCTGAAGGGGCAGGTGCTGCTGGGTCCAGGCATTTCCCCACTCGAGGCACAGGGAGCCTGGGGCCTTTTCCCAAAGCTCTCCCATCTGCAAGGCAGCAGGACCCGATGGACCATGCTCAGAGCCCACCTTGTGCCCAGCGGGTTACCTGAGGGTGGGACCTGGCCAGGTTAAGGTTTGGGGTTGTTTTCTGATGGCTGACATGCAGCATGCCTGCCCCCAGGGGAGGTCCAGGGCTGGGAGAATGGGTCCTGAGCTGTGAGCCCCTTTTCCCTCTTACATTCCAGGATACTGTGGTGAGTATCCTGAGCAGCTCACTGCACTGTGCCAGATGGTCCTTCCAGGCTGTGTCTGGTGTCCTCTCTCTTGTAAACTTTTGTTGCTGATCATTAATAAAATGTTCAAGAGCTGGGCATTGGTCTTTTTGGGGCTGGAACCCAGGTAGCAGAAGGGGGGCATAGGGCACTGAGAGGGAGCACCACACTCACACTGCATCCCTGCAGCTCCATGGCAGCCACCACACACCTGCTGGCCCTTCCTGGGCTCTGGATGGCACAGCAGGGCAGGTCCACATGTGCCAGAGCTGCAGCCAGGGGCCCTGGGGGGAGAGGGGGGACTCCTTGGGCTCTCCTAATGAGCAGGGTAGCCACGTGGGCCAGGCAGGGCCTGGGCACCACCAGCATGGGGACTGCAGCCAGGCTGGCTGCTGTGTTCTGGATCACCTGTGGAGGAGGTGACAACCCTAGGTACCTGTCCAGGGGTGCCTCTGCCAGGGACCCCACTGTCCTGTGTCCCCCCAGTCTGTGTCCTGCTGCAGAGCTGCCCCAGGGCTGGGCAGAGGCTGTGCCAGGTCCCCTGCAGCACAAGGGGGAGCAGGGCCTTTCTGTCTGGGGACACACAGGGACAGTGTCACCTGCCCCTCTGCACAGCCCTTGACCCCTACTGGCCCTGCACTGTGCCCTGCAGCTCCCACGGGCCTTGGGCCCTTCTCTAAGGGGTTTTGTTCTGCTGGGCACGTGAGCAGCCTCAGCACCACGGGAGGGAGTGGAGGGCTCAGCAGCCCAGAGCTGCCAGGTCTGGGTGGGCTCACCCCTCCCTAGCAAGGACAGACACGCAGAGCCGTCCCGAGCAGGTTTATTGTCACCCCAGAGCCACCAGCACCGCTCAGGCAGCCGCACACTCCGCGGGGGCCAGGGACAGAGCCAGACCTGCCTTACACGGGGGAGTCCTGGCAGCTCCACGGGACACCGGTCACACAGAGCACCTGCGGGAGGCACCATCACACCGCAGCTGTGACACACAGCACTGCGGGAGGCACCGCTCACACGCTGTGACAGCAGAGGGGGAGCCCCAGCCCCCGCCGGTGGGGACCCTGCTCCGGCGCTCACGGCAGAGCACCGCGGGGCTGAGGGGCTGCGGAACCGGCGGTGGGGGCACGAGCCGTGCCCAGCGTCCCAGCCCGAGCCCCGGTGCTCACCGCGGGTAGAGCCCCACGGGCAGCGGGCCGGGCCGGGCAGCAGCGCAGCGACATCGGGTCCGGCAGAGCCGTCGGTGTCGAGCGGCACGGATCGGAGAGCAGCCCCGGGGCTCTGCCCACCGAGCATCGGTGGGGCCGGGCCGTCCGCAGGTACGGGGGCTCGGCGGGCAGCACAGCGCGTGCAGCGCGCACGGTGCCGGGGGGCCGTAGCACCGGGGCCGGGGTCCCGCCTCGCCCGCCCCGCCGCCACTCGGTTTCCGGGGCGGCGGAGCCCGCGGGGCGCCCGGCGGAGCCACCGCCCGGCCCCGCTCCGAGCGCGGGACACCGACACGGACACGGGACTGGCGTCGCACATTTATTGAGCGGCCCGGACAGGCCGGGGGCGGGCCAGGGCCCGTCCCCGTGCCCGGTGCCGCCGTCACTCGCGGAACTTCCACTCCTGGCGGCACATGGGGCAGTGCTGCTGCACCTGCTGCGAGTTCAGCCACTTGAGGATGCAGTGCATGTGGAAGCAGTGCGAGCACTGCCCCCACACCAACGGGCAGTCGTCGCCGGGCACCTTACCTGCGGCACGGACACACCGTCAGCCCCGCCCAGCGCGCAGTGCCCGGTGCCGGTGCCGGTCCCGTACTCACAGTCGGGGCAGCAGCCGTTGAAGGCCATCCGGCAGATGCCGCAGTTCTCGTCGTTCGCCACCCACAGCCAGGACGCGACTCCGTGCCAGCTCCGCACGCGGACCCGCATGTCCCGGTCCCGGTCCCGCCGGAAGTGCCGCCCGCCCCACAGAGCTTCGCGCGCCCGCCGCCCCGCGCCTCGGCCCCGCCTCTTCCGCTTCCGGCGCGGGCGCAGCGCGGCCGGAAGTGCGGGTGGGAGCGGTGCCGCCATCATGGCCGACAAGATGGACATGTCCCTGGACGACATCATTAAGCTCAACCGGAGCCAGCGTGGGGCCAGCCGGGGCGGCCGGGGCGGCCGGGGCCGGGGCGGCACCGCACGCGGGGAACCGGCCCGCGCCCTACAGCCGGGTACGGACGGGGCAGGCGGAGCTTGGGCCGCGGCGGCGCGGCGGGCCGGGGCGGAGGGTCCGCGCGGGGCGGGGGCGCGGACGCGGGAGGCCCTTTGTCCGCTCCCGGCGCGGCCGCGGGGCCCTGGCGCCGGTCAGCCACGTCCCGGTCTCGTTGCAGCCGAAGCAACTCCCCGAGAAGTGGCAGCACGACCTGTTCGACAGCGGCTTCGGGGCGGGGGCCGGCGTGGAGACCGGCGGAAAGCTGCTCGTCTCCAACCTGGACTTCGGCGTTTCGGATGCGGACATCCAGGTGCGGCTCGGGGAGGCGCCGCGGGAAGCGGGGCCTCGTTCGTTGGCCCCGGCCGGGTGCCCGCGGGAGCCCCGCCGGCCCTGCTCCCACTGCGCTCGGGGCCGAGTGAATCCCTGGTCATGGGGTTGGTACTATATGCCTGCTTTGCCGCGGTCGTGGTGGTCTCCAGGGGGCTGGAAAATCCAGTTTATAGGTGCTTTGTAAGTACCTGGTGCACAGGGAGTGATGCTGTGGCTGCTGGATCATGCTGTGACTGGAGGATCACTGTGAGCTCCTGCTCTGCAGAGCTGTAGCTGTCCCTAACCGTGCCCTGGGCTCTGCTGCTTTGTCAGTCCACACTCTGGTGGGTGTCAGGGGGTTCCCAAAGATGCAGCCATCAGTGTAGCCAGGTAGTTATTTGTCACGAGAACAGCTCCTCTGCCTTGGTGTCCTGCCCTCCACCTGTCATGGCCATGCCTGGCTGGGCTGTCAGAGCCCACGGTGCTTGGGGCAGCTGCCTCAGGGCTGGAGGCTGAGGGGTGTCCCAGGGTCAGGAGTGGGCTGTGAGCTGTGCAGCATTGAGTGCCACGTGTGTCCCTGGCGGGGCTCCTGCACCACAGAGTGCTACCATCACCCTGGCCTCTGGCTCTCGTGGCCTCACCACGGAAAACCAAACCACTGCTGTGAGACTCTCCTCATCAGTTCGTTCATTCAGCCTCTCCTCCACCCATCTGGCTGTGTGTGGGGAATGGGAAAGGAGCTCTGGCAGGTCCCCTACTCACTGGGTAGTGTGCTGCACTCCAGTTCTTTCCCTCGTGTAAGTTCAGACTGGATTTAAATAAGTTCCTGTTTGTTGCAGTGAGGCAGCAGTGTAAAACTCAGCGCCTGTGCCCTGTGTGCAGCTAGGACTCACTTCCTGCTGCTGCACAAGCTCCCACTGGGGTTTGTTTAGCAGCAGGGCTGGCTCAATATCTTTGGCCCCCAGCCCCATAATTTAGCATTGCCTCAGATGTGGTTTTGTTCCTGTGCTAATGCCTCTTTGTGTGGTGTGAGAGGCCGAAGGCGCTCTGGTCACAAAGGAGCTGTGCAGTGTTCCTCCTTGTGTCCTCTGAGGCAGGAGCAGCTGACCCGGGCTCTGGGCAGAGCTGACACAGCCTCACCTGCCACATTCTGTCCAGAAAGCATCTGCCAGGTGCCCTTTGCAGTTCTCCTGCAGCAGCCCTGCTGAGAGCCCTGCTGTGACTCGGAAGCAGGTTGACACAGGCAGTGCAGTAACCTTGTTGCCTTCCCACATGTAGTGCCTGAGAAACAAAATTGGGTGCCTCTGTTGCTGCCTCTTTATTTCCAGCCTTTGTGGCAGCAAAGGGCAGACCTCAACAGAGGACTTTGCTGGGCTCCATTTTTGGGGTATGTTCCTGATGGGCACAAGTCCAGCAGTAAAAGTGCCATGGTCTCGTGGATCCCTGCACTCACGTGGTCATTCTCCTCTGAGAAAGGTGTCTGGGGTCTGCAGTATTTTTAATTGTTGCCACTTTGATTCATCTTCAACAAAGACCTCCAGTTCCCCTGGGGGAAAAAAAAAAAAAAAAAAAAACAACAAAAAAACAAAACAAAAACAGGTCAGCATCCCTTGAATCTGCTTCACTGGCTGTGAATGTGCCTCCTGCAGGACACGAGCGTGGAGTCCTGCTTGATTTTGCCACTTGTGACAGCTGCCTGGAGTCTTGCAGACGGGCTGTGCTCCGCTGTGCTACTGGGTGTTTGTCCAGGCTGTCTGAGGCGGTGGGACGAGCACTGACACCGAGTGTGTCTGTGGGGTGCTGCAGTGTTGGCAGCACTGATGGATGGGCTCCTTTCTCTCCCATTCCCAGGAGCTCTTTGCGGAGTTTGGGACCTTGAAGAAGGCAGCTGTGCACTATGACAGATCTGGCCGCAGCCTGGGGACGGCAGACGTGCACTTCGAGAGGAAGGCCGACGCGCTGAAGGCCATGAAGCAGTACAACGGGGTGCCCCTGGACGGTGAGGTGGCGTTCCTGTGGTGGAGCGGGGTCCCTGCATACCCGTGTCCCTCCCCTGGTGCCTTTCTCCCTCACCCCAGTCCCTCCTGCCCCGTGTGTGTGTCCTGCTCACGGCTGCTCTCCTCCCGCAGGGCGCCCCATGAACATCCAGCTGGTCACGTCACAGATCGACACGCAGCGGAGACCAGCACAGAGGTGGGGGAGCCCCTGCCCGGGCAGGACCCCTCCCTGCTGGGGAGCCTGGGTCCTCTTTGGCTTCACTGAAGGCACTAAAACGCCGCTTTTAAAACTTACAGTGTAAACAGAGGTGGCATGACCAGAAACCGCGGGGTCTCAGGGGGATTTGGAGGTGGAGGCAACAGGCGAGGGACTCGTGGTGGGAACAGAGGGAGAGGCAGAGGAGCTGGAAGAACTTCCAAACAGCAGCTCTCTGCAGAAGAACTAGATGCACAGCTGGATGCTTACAATGCCAGGGTAAGTGCTGCTTGGGCGTGGTAGTGGGCTCCCCACAGCATCTCATCCTGGAAAGCTGGCAGTCTGGAGCTGGCAGAAAAGAGAAAGCATTTTCCAGCTCCTTGGACTGAAGCAGTCTCACTCCGAAGCTGTGCTGTGCCTTGGCTTGGGCCTGAGCTTCGCTTTCCAGAGCAGTTTGTCACCTGTTCCTGATGGCTGAGGAACAGGCTCTGCTCTTGCCAGGCTCCGTAGCTGGAGCAGCCACTATGAGCAGCAGCTGCAGAACAAAACTCACAGAGCTGATAGGCTGCAGGAATGGGAAAACAAAGGAAAATCTCATGTGGAAGAGCTGTGTGCTGCTGGGGAAAGGGTGTAATGCTGGTGGCAGAAATGAGCCATGGGCAGGTTGTAGCTGTACCTGGAACTTGCTCAGCCTGTGCCGTAGCTGGGCCAGGATCCAACAAAGCCGAGGCCACAAGGACACCGAGTGGGTGGTTCAGGACCAGGACAGGTCAGGGCAAGAGCATGGAAGGAGTGTGATGAGCAGGACTCCAGGGAAAGCCCTGGAGCAGAGTCGGGGAGCGCTCCGCTGTCGTGCTCAGCACGGTGCGCTGTGCTTGCACCCCCCTGTCCCTGTGCCCCGTGCCTGGGGCTCAGCAGAGCCGGGCTGCCCGCAGGGCTGGGTGGGCTCAGGTGCAGGGGTGCTACTGTGCCAGGGCTGTGCTGACATTCCTCCCTCTCTTCCAGATGGACACCAGCTAAAGCGGCAGCAGTGGGCGCAGGGAAGGACTCCAATCTTGCTCCACACTCCCGGCAGGGGCTGCGGCTGTGGCTACTACTACCGAGGATGGGATTTGTTTTACTTTTACGTTCTGGGATAGGTTTTAACTCCTGTAAAGGTTTTTTTTAATTCTCAGCAGACCTGTTTTGTACCGAGTTATTTTTGGGATAAATTTTTCTGGTTGCCTGTTGGGCCAAGGTGGCTTTTTCACCTTTGCCGTAATAAAATAGAACCATGTCTAGAGCTGTGGCTGGTGCCTTGCTGCGGTCCGCGCCCCGTCCCGCTCCCGCACATACCGTGATGCTCCGCGCCACTCTGCCGTGTCCCGGTCCTGGTCCCGTTCTCGCTCGCGGACCGCTCTCCTGCCCCGATCCCTGTCTGCCCCGCCCTGCCGGTGCTGCCCCGCTCCGCCTCGGTCCCGCCCATCCGGTCCGTTCCGCCCCTCCCATGCGCCCCCCCCTCCCCCCCCGGCCCAATCAGCGCGCGGTCCGCGGCCGGAAGCGCGGCGGCGGCGCGGCGGCGAGTAACGGGAAGTGCCGGGCGTGTCCCGGAAGTGCGGGGGCGCGCGGGGCCTGGGCGGATCCGCGGCGTTGGCAGCGCAGCGCGGAGCGAGCGAGACCGGTACGGCGGGAGCGGCGGGGGGGTGAGGCACGGCGGGCCGGGCGCGCCGCGCTGGCCGCGGGAAGGGCCGGGCGCGGCCGAGGGGCGGGCGCGGGCGGGCTCCCCTGAGGGGCTGGGGCGGCTCCCGGCGGGCTGTGCTCGGTGCTCGGGCCGAGGGGCGGTGCGGGGATCGCCCGGCCCGACACGTCCCGCGCTCGGCCGTGCCTCCGGCGCGCACGGGCTGTCCATAAATGGCCGCTTGGCGTGGAATGAGGAACTGGGAGGCTGCACAAGAGCCGGGCTGCTCCGCGGCGAGGCAGGGCCATTCCACCCCGGCCGCCGCGGGCCGGGTGCGCCTCGAGCGCCGGCGGGGGTTTGCACGGGGGCCGCGGTTCCTGCGCTGCCCCGCCATCATCACTCCAGCGGGAGCAGTGGCGTTTTCCCGAGAGCTGGCTGGGAGCCGTGAGCGTCGTTTGTTTGTGATGGGAAGAGCCCCTGGCCGCGCTGGTTCACTTGAGGGTTTCGGGTCTGCTCTCTTGCTCCGTTTGTCCAAGCGTTTTTCCAGTGTGGAGGAGCTTATTCCATGGCTGCAGAGTGGGGACAGTTTCACCGCTGTGGGTTCGGCTGCTGGCACACAGGGATGGGTCACAGTCCCGGCTCCAGGTACCCACGGTGCTGGTGTGCATCCCTGGTGTGGCACTGCCAGTGGCTTTATGCTTTGGAGCTGTTTGTGAGCCCTCAGCCTGGCTCTGCACGGTTCACCCCTGCAGGTGAACGACAGGTCAGGGATATGTCAGAGCAAAAAGAAAAAAAATCCTCCATCCTCAGACTGCCGAATCCCCGCTGGGCAGCAGTGTGTCCTCCTGTTCCCAAGTCCTTCCCGCGTGGGGCTGTGAGTCACCCTGGGGGGATCAGGTGGGGTGAGAATTCTCTGGATGCTCTTACAGAGCAGCTGGTGCAGCAGTGGTACCTGGAGATGCCCTGACAGCGCCCAGCCTCAGGAGGTGCCAGCTGGGCTCCTGTCCTGCCTGTGCTGCCCGTGTGGAGCAGCCCGGCTGTTCAGGCTGTTCTGGCTCCCCGTCCTGGCACAGCAGCTGGGACAGGACCCTGGAGAAGCGCTTACTGCTGGGTCACATTCCAGCGAGCTCTCTGGGTGGCTGCGCGGGAAGAAGGAAGGGTGGGGACTGCTGGAACGGCCCTGCTGCGTCCACGGCTGCGCCAAGGCCTGGCGGCTGTCGGAAGCCGATTAGCTCATCTGAAGATACTCTGACTAATGCTGGCCTCGCTGCTGCCGTGGATCAGGATTCCAGGAGTCAGTGGTTCCCGCTGTCTGCTCGGACACCAGCAGGGATATTCCCGCTGGTGCTGCTGCTGGCAGGAGGTGGGGCTCTGGCGTTGGCTGCTGCAGCTGCTCTGTCCTGCTCTAAACACGCTGAGAATCCGGAAGAATCTGCTGGGTTGAGGGAGCAGTGAAGGCAGAGTGCAAATTCCCAGGATTCAGCCTCCTGCTGCCTTCTACAGGCTGCTGTGATCCTGAGGACCTCCTGGGAGCTGGGGTCTGTTTCTGAAGGTCCAGGAGCCCTTCTGTACCCTGCTTCCAGCACAGGCTGGGGTCCCTTCCTGCAGCCCTGGCAGTTCCTGGGGGGCTGTGCTGTTCCACAGAGCAGGGGGTTCCCCAGGACCTGTGGGTAAGCTGATAGGAAAGGTAAGGGCTGTTTCTCCACAGCCAAGCCCTGGCCTGCAGTGCTGACTGGAATCATGCTGGTTCTGGTCCCCTGCGGTGTTTTCAGTCCTGGTGGGCTCCTGTCACCTTAGAAATCCTGAGAAGTTTGGGGTGGGTTGTGATTAATCTGTGTGCTGGGTATGCATGATTCTTCAGCTGTGGATCACAGAAGTAAGGCTGGAATGCAGGAATGTGAGCAAAGAGCTGGGGATTTGGGGTTTTGGTTGATTTGGGCTTTCTTTTGTGCCCTCTGTGTCATGATGGTTGCTAAGTACCAGTTTGTGGGAGGGGCTCCTCGTGGGTCTGGTGGAGATGGGGCTAGTGATGCGTGGGAGAAAACTGTCACCGTTGTGTTACACGAGGGTCAGCTGTTGAGGAGTGGCAGCTCTGTGCTGACACCAAACCAGTGCATTTCCAAACTGGCCAGGAGAGGATTCTGGCTCTTGGAGGTGACCAGCTGCTGGCAGTCAGGGCTGTGAATGCCAAGGCTGTTCCCAGTCAGTGCAGCTGTCTCCCAGCGATGGGAGCTGCGCTGGGACTGGTGCTGTTGTTCACAGAGCACTGGCTCCAAGAGCTTCAGGTGCTGGAGCAGAGGCTCCATGGCTCCTGCTGTCCTTGATCTGGCTGTGTGTGAGAGATTTTGTCTCTGCTTGGTCTGAAAATTGGAAGGTGGATGGTGCCCATGGATGCTCCTACACAGAAGTGTAGCTACCACTGTTGGAGATACGTGTGTGGTTGCTAGTGGATCCTCTGCCATTAGTGTGCTCTCACAGAAGGCTCAGTCACAGAATTTGGGAGTCACCACAAGTTTGGAACTTCGATTCTGTAGAGCTGAAATTCTGTCTCTTTCCTGGAAGCTGCAGGTATCCTCAGAGCAAGGTGTGAGTGTTAGAATGAACTGTGGACCATGGGAGGTATAGTCTAGCCCAGAGGTGAGCCAAAGGACATTGGAGGAGGGGATTGGGCAGGATGCAGGGAGGAGATGGAGCAGTGCAGGGTGTGTAAGTGAGCGTTTGCTCAGCACTTCTAGGAGTCCTCAAGCCTGGCAGCTGTTTGGGAGAAGCAAGGGCCTGGGTTTGATATGGAGACACTGGCATGAAATCTCATCAGTTGTTCATCTGTGACATGAGACTAAATGCCCTTTTGAAGACAAATTTCCACACCATTCAGTGTGAGGATGTTGGAGGATGCCATGTGGAAGGGCCAGCTGTTTGCTGTGCAGCTGCAGCAGGAAAAGCTCCTGGCACAGATGCTTGTGCCACACAAGGCCAGAGCCCTGGTACAGCCCCATGGTGCCACATCATCCCCCAGTGCCTTTCTAAAGCTGTGCCAGAGTGTTCTGAGTCTTTAGAGAGTCCAAGTTGGTATTTGCCATAGGATAACCCTTCAGACAACGTGCCCTGTGGAACACCAAGAATTCCTGAATGTGTCATTGGCTTTTACGAGGATTTTAATGGAGTGTTGGCATCACCTTTGCCTAGCCCTTGGTGTGGCTGGGCATTTCCTGGGCAGAGTCCTGGGCAGCTGAGCCAGGTTCCACATCTTGTTTATTTAATTGTCTGTTTCCCTGGTTGTGTGTGCCACAGATCCTTGCAAAGGGCTGAGCCAGGTGTCTCATCCCACTCTGCCAAGGCACCTTGCACAGAGCACTGACATGACAGTTACAAAACATGAGCACCAGGTCCCAGCAGAGGCTCCTGGCATTCATGCCAGTGGGGAGACAGAGGCCTGCTCTTAGCTGGAATCCTGTTGTGGAGAGCAGAACTGGGTTTATTCTGGGCTCTGGTTTATTCCAATTGAAAGCCTCACCTGGTCGATCTTGTGGAGGAGAATGTCCTCCCTATGGCTTTGGGGTATTTACACTACAAGCAAAGCACTGAGGTTGAATTTTTTCTCACTCTTGCCTGGGCCTCTGCAGGCTGAAGATGAGACGTGGCCTCT